TGAATGCTGTAATACTGCCCTAACTGGCAAGATTGACCTACTGATGCACTATTGGAAACTATTACAGAGTAACCATCCCTTTATGATTAGATTGGAGACTTGTCCCCCTGGAGAGAATGCATGTCTGATACTAGAAATCCCCAAGGCTACCGAGGAGATTATATACCCTAGAAGGACACTTACTCCTGCAACAACTCCTGTTGTTTGTTAAATAGACATAATGTAAAACTTTATAAATATTGATTTTTGTGACTATAGATAGGTGCTACTCATCTTTGATCAGAGAACTGGCTTGCTTTTCCAGCAAGTAACAATGAATGAAGAGACTCATGGTTGCTCGAGGTTCAGAAAATAAGTAAATAAATTATAACTGTCTATAGCCATATTTCCCTGAATACAGCCTGTGTCACTTGAGAATAAAAGACTAAATAAAACATCTACATCACGCTGTAGAAAGCACAGGGAACATCCTAGAAGGGACAAAAAATTTAAGAGCCTGACAATGTAGATCTGTACTGTAAGACACTCCATGGTTATGAGTCACTCAAATCATGAACTCACAGCAGCTATGGTTTCCTCCACTGGGACTGACAAGATGGGGTCTATCAATATCCAGTCTGGGATGTTTCATCTACCAGGTGAAAATATTCTCTTCAACCTCAAAGAAGCCATCATTCACTGTTGGGGATGTGAGATTTTTCTTAGCTGATATTGTATCAACTAAGAAATACAGAAGAGGACCAAGACAGAGAAAATGAGAATTATTTCTACAAATTAATTCCATATAAAGATACTATTATAGCTGGGAAACTGTTGGGTGCTGCCAGATGCTGGGTAATGTGGAAGTCTTTTTCTTTTTCCACAGTAGTGTAGTTACTGGTGAGTTCACCATGCTCCGGCAGATTGCGTTACCCCTTCCTTATAGACAGAGCCTTGGTTAAATTTGTGAGTCACAACACACACACACACACACACACACACACACACACACACACACACACACTAGTTATATGACAATGGGAAGAAGACTTTCATGGAAAAGGAAGAATTCATAAGGAAATGAGGGGATTTAGAGAGTGTAAAGGACCTGGGTATTATAATGCACTGGGTATATTTATGAAATTGTCAAAGATTAACTTTATTTTTAAAAAAGAAAAAAATCCAAAGAAAATTCAATATGAATTTGAATGCCTAGAATGATACATAGGGTATCAAGTCTGTGGAAGAGGGTGGGTTTCAACAGGGTGAACTTTCATAACTATCCAGAGAGTGAAATTAAGAGAGGACTCTGGGTACCAGAGTGAATTCTGCTTCACTTGACCAATGGCCACATGAACTTTTCTATGCCAATTTCCAGGCTCCCTAGGAAGGTCTCCTATTGAGATGGTGAAAACACTCATACTATGCTTGTCTCCTCTACAAAACAAGCATGCTGGGGGAAAGCCAAAAGCTTTCAAAACCAAATATTCTTACAAGCCTAGTCTGTCAGACCCTTGACTAGAAGAAGCTGGCCAGGGGCCATTTACAACCTCAAAGGGGAGGAATGCATTCTTGTCTCTATTAGAGAAATACAAAGGGAATCCAGTAATGAATGTAGCTTGCACAGTCCCCAGCAACCTTAAGACCTTTTGGACAGCAGTGTTAGATGCCACTAGATCTGAGAAATGTTCTTAAACCCCAAATTGGGACATTTCCTGAAGGCCTGAAGGCCTTTTGGAACTACCCCTTTACTTCTTTTTACAAACTCAAGTCCATATGATTTTCTAGGATCCTTGAGTCTAGGATATCAAACATGAAAAACTAAATACAATATGTACCCACCCATTCTCAATTGGAGAGCAATGACAGAGAAACTTTTAAAACAACTTTAGCAAATGAATTAGTTTTTAATCCACTTTGCATTGGGCAAAACCATGATCAACAAAGAAGTATATGGTCGAGAGAAGATAGAAGCTATGGACCAGAGCCAACCTATAATCAGTGTTCCTATAGTTGTAACCTATAATCAGTGGTTCAGGCCATTTGGACTCCGAGAGGACTGAGAGGAAGAGGGTGATATATTAGAAGCTTCACTCTCCACATTTAAAGTACAAAGGAGGAAATATTCCACTGGACACAATTTATTCTCTCTGAGACTATGGTCCCTAAAGATTAAGCATCTGATGTTTTAGGCTAAGAAAAAAATGTCCTAATTATAGACATTCCAAGTTTGAATTTCGATGAGCAAGACCCTGTCTTTTGCTCTTCTTTCAAGCAAAAGCTTTAATACCTACATAGAGAGGTTGATACCTATCCCTCTGCTCTGGAGCTACTCTCCAGCTATTCTGAGCCATCTTCAGCACTCTAAGTTCAGTCAGACAAGCTACATCAATAACAGTGAGACCTAGTTGCTTGACATAGAGGGGTAGAGTACCATAAAGTGTATCCTCGTTAATAAGGAAGGAAGCAATGACCACATAAATATAGAGATCAGAATTTTAATGGGCTCAAGAGATATAGCAAAACTGAGAAATATCGACATCAACCCTCATATGAAAACATTCTCTTCAAAGCCAAAGTCTCCATCTTTCAGTGCTTGGGAGGTTAGACTCTTCTTAGCTGAAATGGTATCACTGAGGATATACAGGAGAGAATAAGGTAATGATATCTCATGTGAGTAAAGATGGCATTTTTGTGGAAGCCAGTGGAGGTGGGTAGGGGCTGTAGATAGTCTCAAATTGATCAGAGTTGATATTGGCTCGTGGAAATAAAGGGTCAGACTCCCAGATATATAACAATAATTAAAGAAATAGAACCTGTGAATTTGTGAGAGAGCAACAGAGTGGTGGTTGGGGAAAGTTTATTCTGTGAAAACTGGGGTAAGAAAAAGGGTAAAATGATGTAATTGTATTATAATTTCAAAAATTAAAACATGTTTTTTAAAAGAAAGTCTCTTTTGGATTAATGTTTCTACCATAGACTTTGAGGACAGAATTTAAATAGTGGCCAGAGTCTTGTGGGTGAATGTCTGAGCTGAGTACTGCTCTGCCATGCAGAGCTTATTCCATCGAGGTATAGACTTGGGAACATCAGCATGATTCTTATCCAAGGAAAGGTTGAGCAAAGCACTGACTACATTTGTAGTCTGATGACACAGGACTTGGCCTCATTTTGGCAAATTCAGTCACAACATATATCTATTATCTTGCCCATATCTTTATCACATGAGAATCAGGAGAGATAGTATCTGGTTGTCAAGTGTTTCTTATTCCAGTTCTCCAGGAGAGACTGGTAAGTGGCAATAATGGACAGGTCCTTACCATGCTATCCAAAGATAGCTAGCCTCTTTTACAGAGCCATATGACCAATTTCAGTTAATTCTATTATTTTGAACACATCCATAGGAAGGCTCATGGTATTCCTTGGTGTTCAGCAAGACTTAATGGATTTCTGTAGCTGAGGGTTTTTGTTCCTAAACTTGATTATACCAGTGTTAATAACTACAGCAAATAAATTTCCAACCATCTATGTGCTTTTCTTGATGGTTTTAACTCAGAAAGCAAAGCTACACAGCAAAACAAAGTTTTAAACTAAAGAAATAAAAAGTGTAGGACATATTTACAGAATTTTCAAGGGTGTTACATTATTAATGGCACACATTTTATAAAAGGTTCGACTCACACTGGTTATAATGCACCTTCAAGTGTACCCTTGATGAGAAACATATTTGACTTTCACTCACTCTCATCATTCTAGAAAGGTCAGTCTAAAGACTCCTTTTGCCCATAGTACTAAACTTCAAATGAGAACCACCCTGGGGAAGTAGAGAAAAACACAGATAAATTCCTTTTGTAATCAACAGTTTCACAAACAACTCCTTTCCTAAAAGAATCCATATTGTCTTTTTAGTCCTTAGCAGGAATTTGTATCATTTACAAATCAGGAGAACAAATTGCAATCAGACTAAATATTAATAATCCATTTTGTTATGCAAAATGAAAATAAAGTTTTATAATTCTAAATCCCCATTTTTATTATTGTGATCTTAGCTCAATTATGTGGTGGCCCAATAACTCAGGTAATTATTATTTGTACTATGAAAGTAAGATGTCAACCATAAAGTGAGTGGAAGAAGCCGAAGGAAAAGGAAGAGGACCAGTAAGTACTCCTCCTGGGCCTTGGGTGTGTTAGTTGCAAAAGTAACAGCTGATTATAGCTCCTTAGGGCTAGCCATGACAGGCAAGGAGCCAGGACTCGCATCATGCCACAGCAGGTCCCTTCTACTGTGCTCTAAGTTCTCCCCAAATGCCCACCAAAATACTGCCACACTTCTATTTCAGATTTTTTCAGCCAATATCTACATGACACATCGACAGGGTCCATAAACTGAGTATTCTCCATGGATTCAGTGTCAGTTCCTGTCTGACAATGCCCTAAGTCTCAGAGGTAACAGGACCAGAATAGCATCATCAATTTTAAAAGTAAAACAGACACTAGAAAGAATATGTTTGGGAGACTAAACAATACAACAAACAAAAATAAAATATGTTGGACCAAATGCTGCCAAACTCCAAGCTGTTCAAAATAAAGACATCATTTCCAATACCATTCTTCTGCTGCTTTAATACTGATGTTGTCATATCAAAAGTTCTACTCCTGAGTGTATAAAATTAGACAAAATCAGAGACTGAATTCCTTAACAGTATAGTCCAACTCACACAACCTCCTGCTCCATCCATTATAACCATCAGCATTTAGGGGGTTCTAGAAATTTTACAGAACATAGCATCTCTTGGCTTCTCCTTACCTGGTTGGGTAAGATAACTAACCACACATGCGGAGCAAACATCCACCTTGCAGCCGTTAGTTCAGGTCTAGATCTTAATGTTCTTTCTGGTTCTCAAACATTTCCCAAAGATTGATCAGAGGGTGGGGCAGGTGGAGTGGGAAGCAAACGCTGGGCACAGCCATGAGCTATCCCCATCATGGGATTGTCACTACAAGGAAAAATATGCACTTACTTGCTGCCAAATGATATTCTTCACTGAAACCCCACCAAGAGCCCCAGAAGCAAGGCTTCTAGGAGCCCTTTGCTCTCCTGGGCTTATCTCTCTTCTCAGCTCTCTTCTCAGGAGGTTGCTTGCTGTGCTTGCTGTTCCCAGCTGCTGCCAGCTAGACACTCAGCCACCTGGGAGGTTCCACAGTCACAGACCCAGAGACCACCTACAGACAGATGCCCAGCAAGCCTGGTAGCTGTTTTTGTTTCCTTTGCCTTCCTCCCTCCCTTCTCGTGGCCACTCCCCCACTCTCATCTCCAGGCTAGCCTGTGACTCCTGAAGCCAGATAAGCGTGGGCGGGTGATATTGACAGACACCCAGCTGCAGAGGCAATAACAGCTTCAGCAGTGGTTTTTCATCCTCCTGCTGCCTGGGAACGAGCCAGTCAGACAAGTGGGACTGGGATTTAATAAAGAGAAAGAAATAGAAAAGAAGCTGGGAAGGAGTGAAGAGTCCACAGCTGGGAGAAAAGCAAAAGCAGTGTGTGGCTGACTTGTGTTTGTGTGCCACTGGAGTGTGTGGAAAAGGAGAGGAGAGTAAGAGAGGATGGGGACAGCAAACTCAGGGTCCTGATTTTCAGGAAGATTTCCCTACCCTGCTCTGATTGCCTAATAGAATATATGGGGTAAATGTCAGCCTATGACACACTGGCAGCCCCCAGCATTGCTGTGGCCACAGTTCTGGGCAGGTGTGTGGCTGCTTAAGAAAGACTTGACTAGAAGACTGTAAATGCATTGTGGGTTTGTGTCCCACCCTGGCGAGTGGAGTTTGAGGTCCAGTGGGAACTTTTGTCTGTGTTTTTAAAAACTGGCATGCCCTACATCTTGGTTTGAGGGCTGTAGGGAAGATGTACTATACATTTTAACCAAGATGGAGATGGGAAGATTTTGACATAACCAACATAGGCCATTCATTGTTTAACCCTCTTTTGTCCAGATTTATCAGAGCATTTTATTCAAAACTTCATCAACATAGCTTTATGAATAAAACCATTTTAAATAATTTAACCCAGGACCATTGTCATACCGGATAATAAAAGTAAGTTTTGCAATGCTGAACATCCATTTGACCTTACTTCTTAAAGCAGGCATATGGATGTGTTTCAAGCTTTTCTTGCCCAAGTTTTCTGGTGTCAATGCAAGCACATCTTCTAGTGTAGACAGTTCACCTTTGGAGAAATCTTCCATGCTCACCAAAGGGAGCCTGTGTGTCTGTCAGTATATTCAAACATCAGGTGAATATAGCAACAATGATGTAAAACATTCTCAAATCTAGAAAAATGCCATATGGAAAATTAGAAGCACATGTGTGTTCGTGTGAGCATGCAGGTGTGTGTGTGTGTGTGTGTGTGTGTGTGTGTGTATGTGTGTGTGTAAAAGAAGTTTGAATGGATTCATCCTATAAAGGAGGTAAATTGAAATTGTCTTCCCCAGTTCCATAGACTTTCATAGTGCACACTGTCAGCTATGGGATGCCAATATTTAAGTTGTCCATCAGGTCCCATAAACACCATTCTCAACATTATAGACTATTGCTATTCCTCTTGGTTGCCCTCCAGAAATTGCTTGTAGACCATATTGCTAGAAGACACCATATACTCAAGTCATGGGATGTAGGGAATTAAATCTGGTATTGACTTGAAATATTTTCCCTACTGATAAGCTTTAATAGTGCTAACGGGTCCTTTGGCAAACCCCCAAAGCTACAATAATAACTGTCCTGGAGAAAAATACCCACTTTGCACAGTGGCAGAAATGTTACTGGAATATCCAGCCACTTTTTGATTGGACTAAAAGCCCACTTGAAAAGACAGAACTTACCCCTGGAATTGTTCATTGGGTCCCAGACCAGTGTCCAGTTACATCATAGATGCCTAGGAGAGAACCTTTATTATACCAAATGGATATATTAATAGACTTCACCCTAATGTCTTATCTTTATGAACATAGATTAGTGTCTTTCTCAACCATCATCAAAGAAACAGCATTTTGTAGTAGATAGATAAACAATGACTTACAATTGGTCAACACACTGAGTATAAGAGGATGTGGAGTAGTTAGCTTCAAAGAGGGTATCATAGCCCATCCTACCATGGCTTAGGAATCACTATGAAAAAGGGGGCAGGGATAAAGAACAGGAGGTGTACATCTTCAGTGAAATACTACTTGCCAATATATGACAGCACTGTGGCACACATGAATGCATAGGATTATAACTTTCATGAACAAGACTTTTATAAGATCAAGGCAACCAAACCCAAGCCCAGTTCATGGAGGAGCTCAGGAAATCTACCAAAATCTGAGGAATGATGAAGGATTGATGGCAATTTGGAGAAATGTCTCTGAAAGATTTTCTCATACCTATACAAATAGAAGGCATCACAGAATGGACATAGAGGATTAACAAAAAGAAAAAAGAGGAAAGAAGGAAAGGAAGAAAGAAAGAAAGAAAGAAAGAAAGAAAGAAAGAAAGAAAGAAGAAAGAAAGGGGGAAGGAAGGAAGGAAAGAAGAATGAAGAAAGAATAAGAAAAAGAAAGAATGAAATTGTGAAGGGAAATTGGTTGGAGGGGGAAATAAATTGGAGGGGGGCAGTGACGGGAGAACATGGTCAAAATAGTGTATGAAATTCTCAAACATTATGAACCAGTCAATAATTATCACATAGCTTAAATATGTTATTTGAAAGGAGTATAAACCAGGACCATTTTACATATTGTATGAAAATCAGACAGCTGCAAATGTATAATCTGAAAAGCCAAATAATGTAGAAACAATTGTACTGGATTTATATTGTAAGGGAGAAACTTGTATTTGTTCTGAAACAAATACCCTGCTAATACTGTTAAATAATGACATTATCTGAGATATTCCTGCACTCATTGTATTCTTAGGGCTACACTAAGCCATCTTTCTGTTTTTCTCATCAGAGAGAAGTATGGAAAACGGACCTTTATACACATCTTGGACCTTGTTTTGTTATAAGAGGAGCCATCTTACTATATTTTCTAAGTTATTTTGTCTTTAGCATATATTATAGAAGCTGTGGACCTATATGCTCTGCCTTATTAAGAAAAAATACTACTATAAACAACCCCCTGACATGTGAGCAGTACTTTTCTTCTATCCTATGTAAACAGCAGATGTTTGTCATAATATAAATATGTCAGCATCAGAAATGCAGATGGATCCAGACTTCTTTTTGATCTATATTACCATACCAGAGTTACATAGCCCTGTGTAAAAATAACACAACAAAATATCAAGCATTTCTACCAATTGCAAGTATATTCTTTGAAAACTAAACCTTGGGCTTCACTAATCTAATCTTCTGATGACTTCATCTTAATTTATGGCTTTAAAAGTAATAAGGAGCCAGACAGTGGTGGCACACATCTTTAATCCCAGCACTTGGGAGGCAGAGGCAAGCAGATCTCTGTGAGTTCTAGGCCACTGTGGTCTACTGAGTGAGTTCCTGGACAGCCTCTAAAGCTACAGAGACACCCCATCTCAAACAACAAAACCAAAAAGTCACAATGAATCATATTATTATATGTTTCCCAAAAATTACATATAACACAGATAAATGTGTAGACATATGCAGTGTATATGGAAACTTCCCATCTGTGCTGACAGTTATTCTCTGAAAAGGCATAGGTTATCTAATAAGAATACCAATACCAGGCATGAAAATTTCCCTTTTGAGTTGTTGGTCAGGGCTGTTTAAGAAATTCCCCAAACAGTATCGGCTATTTTTGTTGCCATTGGTTGTCTCTCAGAAGTGGAAGGCAAGTCCCTAATGCTGAGGGTATCATGTACTTCAGAAACAAGAGCTGGGGGAGTTCCATGCTAGATCTGGCATGAAAGATTTCTTCCTGTGGACTAGCTTTCACAGTACCAGAAGGTGCCATGCAGGCTTCTAATGGAGGGAAACAGTCAACAGTCCTTCACAGGTGTGATGCCTATGAACTATAATAAAGCCCATGATTGCAAGATAAACCGAAGTGTGCAATAGTGGCACGCATACCCTAGTGATAAATAACAGTTCTTTTATTGTACTTCAGGCACATTCCACAAGACGTAAAGCATGCCTGGTACTTGAAACATAGCTAAATACACAGGACTAATACAGTCATGTATCTTGGAGGACAATCTACAAATACCACTTTACTAAATGAGCATAGTTCCTAACTACATTATAAAAGTGGATCCTTACATCCATAGGTAAGTATACATCTCACCTGTTATCAAAGAAATACCTCTTCTCAACAGACAGAGACCATCAGAGATAGTAATAACCAATCAACCTAAATAGAACAAATGACTTTGTGGTGCCTAACCACAACTGATAGAACTACAGCACAACTCCTGAACTGAAATGTCAGGAATCATAACAGAAGATGTGGTGGAATAATTGTAAAAGCCAGAACAGGAAGTTTGCTCTAAGATTTTTGTCTCCTAGACATGCCAGAGAAATTACATCCAGGAAATTTCTACAACATGACTTCTTAAACAAGACAGGAATCCTGTCCACATCAATAGACATGCTTACAAGGAAGAGAGTCTAACCTCAGACAAAGAACTATAGGTAACTAAGGAAAGTTGGGACTGGGAGAAACAGTCTTGTCCATGGAATAATTTCCAATTTGTTAATCCAATACCAAAGGCTCAACCCTGAAATAACTTATAAACAAGGACATTATATGAACTGAGCAGATTATATATATATATATATATATATATATATATATATATATATCTCACAATTAAAAATAGAGACCATAAATTTGAGATACAGAGAGAGAGAGAGAGAGAGAGAGAGAGAGAGAGAGAGAGAGAGAGAGTGGGGGGTAACAATAGTTATAAAAGAGACCATGAATTTGAGAGGATGCGGAGAGAGAGAGAGAGAGAGAGAGAGAGAGAATGGCAGGTGTATATGGGAAGGCCTGGAGGGAAAAAAGGAGGAAGAATATGTAATTATGTTTTAATTAAAAATACATTTAAAAAGGATTCAGTTTGTGATAGATGGTTTCTTCTCCATCTAAACTCTTGTTGCCACTCTTAACAACCTTTACATCATGTGTAGGAGAGATCCAACAGAAGAATTCTGATTTCTGTCCCTAATAGAGCATTCCTTTCTCCATACCACATCAGCTAATGAGTCTTAAAACCATTCTGTTGCTACCCTTGTTTTGCTTCCCAAACACTGGTGACAACA